AATTCTCAACAAGATACTAGCAAATCATATCCAACAACATATAAAAAGTTTATAAAAAAATAAGTAAATAAAGTTAAATAAAATCTTTTTTTTTTGCTATCTTTTTTTTCTTTTTTGAGAGATTTTCGCTATAGGGCGCGTGCACTCGCCAGACAGAGAGAGACATAGAGACCGAAAGCGAGAAATCACCCCCCAGGGGGGATGGTCACGCCGCAATCCCTTCTCCTCCACTCTCCTCTCGGGATCTTGGGCACGCACGCACACGCGCCCAGCATGAGTTTTAAGCCACCGGGTCCAGGACTCGAACCGCCGTCGACTATGTGGGAGTCCAGCAACATAGCCATTATGCTAACTGCTGGTTCCCAAATAAAATCTTTTTTAAAAAAATTTACAATTTACAACCAGGTAGGCTTTATTCCAGGTATTCAAGGGTGGTTCAACATACACAAAACCATAAATGTGATATACTGTATTAACAGAAAGAAAGATAAAAACTATTTGATCATTTCAATCAATGCAGAAAAGGTGTTTGATAAAATATAACTCCCTTTATGATTAAGACTCTCAGCAAAATAGGCACAGAAGGGTCATTTCTCAACACAATAAAAGTTATTTATGAAAAACCCATAGCTAACTTCATATTGAATAAGGAAAAGCTGAAAGCTTTCCCGCTAAAAACTGGTACAAGACAAGGCTGACCACTTTCTCCACTCCTTTTCAATATAATTCTGGAAGTCCTAGCCAATACAATCAGAAAAGAGAATAAAATAAAAGGCATACAGATAAAGAAGAGGTGAAGTTATTTCTATTTGCAGGCTACATGACTGTATACATAGAAGACCCAAGGGTATCCACACAAAAACTCCTGAAAATTTTTAATGAATACAGTAAAGTAGCAGGATACAAAATCAACATACAAAAATCTATAGCATTTCTGTATATGAACAACAATAAGAATGAGGTAGAATGAAGAAAGTAATCTGATTTACCATAGCCACTAGGGATAAATCTAACCAAAGAAATGAAAGACCTCTACAAGGAAAACTACAAAAATCTAAAAAAAGGGAACCAGAAGTGAGCGTAATGGTTATGTCGCTGGACTCCCACGTAGTTGACCGCGGTTCGCGTCCCGGACCCGGTGGCTTAAAACTCACGCCGGGCGCGTGTGCGTGCGTGCCCAAGATCCCGAGAGGAGAATGGAGGAGAAGGGATTGCGGCGTGACCATCCCCCCTGGGGGGTGATTTCTCGCTTTCTGTCTCTCTGTCTCTCTCTGTCTGTCTGGCGAGCGCACGCGCCCTATAGCAAAAACCTCTCCAAAAAAAAAAAAAAAAAGAAAAAAAATCTAAAAAAAATTGAAAATCACAAATAAAGGTGTAAGGACATCTCATGTTCCTGGATTGGAAGAATTAACATACTCAAAATAGCAATTCTACCCAAATTAATCTACATACTTAATACAACCCCAACCAAATTACCAGAGACATTCTTTTTTTTTTTTAATAGATGACAGATTAGTTTATTTTTAACACCCATCAAGCCATGAATTCATAGGGAATAGGTTCCAGTAGCTCAGGCTCCTTTCCATTTGTTCTCACAAAGTGTGCTTCTCTGGGTGGAGCAGGCTGGCACTTTAGTTGAACCCAGGTACCTTTCTCTTAGTCTTCTTTGTTTTTCTGGTCATTTTCCTCCACACGTTGTAGGAAGCTATCTCTGCTCTTAGAATGCTTAATATGCTCAATATGCACATTAATTCTCTTGGCAAGAATCTTGCCCTTAACTTGTTTGCTCACAACAATGCCAACAGCATGCTGGATAACATTGTAGACTCTTCCAGTTTTGCTATGATAACATTTGTGGGGCATTCCTTTTTGAACAGTACCCATTCCCTTAATGTCTACAATATCACCTTTCTTGTAGCTTCGCATATATGTTGCCAAAGGAAC